CATTAGCACCTCTAGTAATATATTTACTGAGAAAAATGGTGACGTGTTCAATACTTATTTTACCTGCTGTATAACATATATTTTACAATGCAGTTGTTGCGATACAGTTTGAGTTGTAAACTGTGCTAATTTACGGTACCTTCAAAAGCCAGATTTCTAAAGTGGATAAAAAGGTGCAGAGCTGGAAGGTTTGCAACACATGATGTCATTTAAAACCTGTAACAATCTCTATGAGCCCACATGCAGCATTTCATGTCCCTTTCCATTTTTAAGTCCAAAAACATAAGCATGTTTTCTGTCGTTAGCTMACTAAGAAATATGGATCGGTCTTCACCATCCACCTCGGACCTAAAAAGGTGGTGGTCCTGGCGGGATACAAGACGGTGAAGGAGGCACTCGTTCAGTACGACGAGGAGTTTGGAGAACGGGACTCCCTTCAAATTTTACATGATTTTAACAAAAGCCAGGGTACGTGCAGTCAATTTTTCTCCATTTTTTGCTTTCAAACATCACACTTTAGATCAAAAGAAAACTTTTTTACTTTATTCCAGGGGTTTTATGGTCCAACGGCGACTCGTGGAAAGAAATGCGGCGCTTTGCTTTGACCAACCTCAGAGATTTTGGGATGGGGAAGAAGGCGTGCGAGGACAAGATCACTGAGGAATGTCAGCACCTGATGGAAGTTTTAAAAAAGTTCAAYGGTACAAACAATCTGTTTCAAAGAAGTCTGATGGAAAAAGTAACATTTTACATCAAAYGTTTGGTTCGGTTGAAGTGATTGTGATGCAGCTGCCAGGATAAAGACAGATACTGTACTTWCAGAACAGCTGAAGATTAAAAATTAATAATATTATGATTCTACAGTAAATTTCATCCTGCAGTCTGGAGTTGAGAAATCAGTTCCAGAAGTTACAGTTATCATAAAATATACATTAATAACATTTCTTATAGGACTCAGACTTAATTTAATTTACAGTTTTCTGAATAATGCTGCCACTAGGGGTCAGAAATACTAAGAAATTTGATTTTGCAGATTCCAATAATTGACCTGTTCATTAGCAAATTATGATGAAAACCCCATCATTTAAAACTTAATAAAATTACCTTACACACATGAGACAACGACGTAAAAAGCAGTTGAAGCGAACTTACCTCTGACACTCCTCAGTGCTTCAGAGCGAGATAATAACAGATCCAGGCAGGCGACATGACGTGAAAAAAAAAAGAAAAAAGCAGTCCTGCACCTTAGTATTGATAACAAACTAATGACATTAGCGTGTGACTGTGCCGCTTCTGGAACAACAACAAACACATGTTCCTCTGTAATGGCTGCCATCTACCGGTGTTCTGAAAAAGTTTGTATCCCTGAAAAAAGTTCCCCCTCCAGAGGGGGCGCTCGCGAGTAGGAAGTAATCTGCTTTCCCCCCAGAGGATGGCCCAAATCTCATGTGAAGTCTCTGACTTTTGTGTTGGCGCCTCCTGGTGGACTATGTGTAAAATGCCAGAATTCATATGATGCTGCTACAGCTGATA